ATCAGGAATGGGTGTTGGACTTTGTTGAATGCCTTTTCTTCAGCAATTTAGATGCTCATATGATTCTTTTCTTTCCTTTTATTTATGTGGTGGATTATGTTGATTGATTTTCTGATGCTGAACCATCCTTACATACGTAGTATGAATCCTACTTGGTCGTGGTATATTATTTTTTTGATATGATGCTGAATTCTGTTGGCTAGAATTTTGTGGAGAATTTTTGCATCTATATTCATGAGAGATATTGGTCTGTAATTTTCTTTTTTTGTGGCGTCTTTGCCTGGTTTTGGTATCAGGGTTATGCTGGCTTCGTAAAATAAATTCGGAAGTATCCTTTCCTTTTCTATATTCTGAAATAGTTTGAGTAGTACTGGTATAAGCTCTTCTCTGAATGTTTGCTAGAATTCTCCAGTGAAGCCATCTGGGCCAAGGCTTTATTTTGTTAAGAGTTTTTTTTATTCTCTTTTCAGTCTTTTCTCTTGTTATCGGTCTGTTCAGATTTTCAACATCACTTTGTGGTAGTTTGGGTAGGTACTGTGTTTCTAGAAATCTATCCATTTCCTCTAGGTTTTCAAATCTGTTGGAGTATAGTTTTTCATAATACTCTGTTTTAATCCTTTTAATTTCAGTTTGATCTGTTGTAATGTCCCCCAGTTCGTTTCTTATTTGGGTTATTTGTGTCCTCTGCTGTTTTTCTTTCGTCAGTCTGCCCAGTGGTTTGTTGATCCTTTCAAAGAAGCAACTTTTGGTTTTGTTGTTTCTTTCTATTTTTCTATACTCTATTTCATTTATTTCTGCTCTGATCTTTATTATTTGCTTTCTTCTAGTGGCTGTGGGCTTTTTTTGCTGTTCTCTATTTGTTGGAGTTCTGTAGTTGTTTTTGATTTTGTCCCTTTCTTCTTTTTTGATGTGTGCATCTATTGCTATAAATTGTCCTCTGAGGACTGCCTTTGTGTGTCCCAAAGGTTTTAGTATGATGTGTTTTCAGTCTCATTTGATTCTAGGAATTTTTTTATTCCATCTCTGATTTCTTCTATTACCCAGTGATGTGTAAGCAGGGTGTTATTCAGTTCCCATGTAACTGATTTTTTTTCCTTGCTCTTTGTCTTAGTCATCTAGTGCTGCCATAACAGAAATACCACAAGTGGATGGTTTTAACGAAGGAGGTTTATTTCCTTACAGTAAAGTAGGCTAAAAGTCCAAATTCAAGGTGTCAGCTCCAGGGGAAGGCTTTCTCTCTCTCGGCCTTCTCATCAGTGTTCCCCCAGACTAGGAGCTTCTCGGCGCAGGGACCCTGGACTAAAGGACACGCTCTGCTCCCGGCACTGCTTTCTTGATGGTATGAGGTCCCCCACTCTCTGCCTGCTTCCCTTTCCTTTTATCTCTTAAGAGATAAAAGGTGGTGCAGGCCACACCCCAGGGAAACTCCCTTTACATTGGATGAGACCTGGGTAAAGGTGGTGTTACAATCCCACCCTTATCCTCTTTAACATAAAATTACAATCACAAAATGGAGGCTAATCACATAATTCTGGGAATCATAGCCCAGCCAAATTGATACATACATTTTTTGGGGGACATAATTCAAACTATGACACACTTCCTGTTGTTAATTTCTACCTTGATAGCGTTGTGGTGAGAGAAGATACTTTGTATTATCTCAGCGTTTTGGATGTTGTTTAAGATTGCTCTGTGGCCTAAGATGTGGTCTATTCTGGAGAATGTTCCATGTGCGTTGGAAAAGAATGTACTTTGCAGCTGTTGGGTGTAGTGTTCTGTGTATGTCTATGAGGTCAAGTTGGCTGATTGTGTCCTTTAGGTCTTCTGTATTTTTTTTTTAGTTTCTTCCTAAATGTTCTGTCCTTTACCAAGAGTGGTGTGTTGAAGTCTCCTACTATTATCGTGGAACTGTCAATTTCTCTTTTCAGTGCTGTTAGAGTTTATGTATTTGGGAGCCCTGTCATTGGGTGCATAGATGTTTATTATGGTTATGTCTTCATGATGGATTGGCTCCTTAATCATTATATAGTGTCCTGTCTTTTATGGTGGATTTTGTTTTAAAGTCTGTTTTATCTGAGATTAGAATTGCCACTCCTGCTCGTTTTTGGTGGCTGTTTGCTTAATATGTTTTTTCCTATCCATTGATTTTTAATAAATTTACATCTTTGTTTCTAAGGTGTGTCTTGTAGACAGCATATTGATGGATCCTGTTTTTTTCTCCATTCTGTCACTGTCTCTTTGTGGGTGCATTTAGGCCATTTATGTTCGGTGTAATTACTGATAGGTGTGAGTTTATTGCTGTCCTTTTGTAGTGGTTTTTTTTGTGGTGCTGACGTTTTTGTTGTTCCTCTCGCTCTCCTGTGCTGAATACCTTTTGTTTGTGGTTATTTTTTTTTTAATTCATTTTGTTTTTATAGGTTTTGTTTTTACTGAGACTTTAGGGTTTTCTTCTTTATTTTAATGAGTAGGTTTGTTAACTTTCTTTGTGGTTACCTTGAAATTTACCCTTATCTTCCTAGGTTTGAACCAGTCTATTATTACTGGGTATTGCCTTGCCTTCCTCTCCATCGAAAGGTTCTATACCTACACAATTTATTCCCTCTTTTGTTGTTCTGATGTTATTATACGTGTGACTCTGTTTGACTTAGTTTTTCGGATCTTTGCTGTGGAGGGACGGTGTGGTGCTTCTGACTATAGCGCCACGTTGCCTGGAAGCCTCTACTTAAGCTTTTTTAAGTCTTCTAAATTTGTCAGCGTCTTCCAGTTTGGCTGTTATTCAGATTGCAAAATTATCGAGAATTTTGAGGTAGTATATGCCTTTCATGATCTACTATTTAGGCTTTTAATTTTTCCTATGACTTTTTGAGGACTAAACACAGTCACTTTCATTGTGTTGGGGGCTCTCTTTTCCATGTATTACCTTTCCAGCATTTCCCATCTGTAGGAGTTGCTAAAGCACAGAGGCTGCAGAAATGTTTTATGGTTTGTAAGTTTTGCATTTACGTAACTCACATGTATCCTTCCCCATCAGGCTATCCTTATGTCATTAATTTTACTAATTAAGAGAATACAGATATTCTGCTATGTTGTTGTTGTTGTTAGATGCCGTTGAGTCAACTCTGATTCAGGATGACCTTATATACAACAGAAAAAAAACATTGCTCAGTCCTGTATCATCCTCACAGTCGCCAGCATGTTCAAGTCCATCGCTGTGGTTATCGTGCGATTCCATTTCACCAGGTGTCTCCCGTATACTTGTTGGCCCTATGCATTTTACCAAACATAATGTCTTCCTTTAGTGATTGATTACTCCTGATGATGTGTCCAAAGCAAGCATGTTGGACAATGTTCTGTTGTGATCTATAAGGCTTTCATTGTCTAGTTTTTGGAAGGGAGTCCCAGTGGCTCAGTAGTTAAACACTTGACTGCTAACTGAAAGGTTGGCAGTTCGAACCCACCCAGAGGCTCTGTAGGAGAAAGCTATGGCAGGCTGCTTCCATAAAGATATAGCCTAGGAAACCCTATGAGGCAGTTCTACTCTGTTGCATGGGGTTGCTGTGAGCTGGAATAAAATCTTCTCGATGGCAAACAACAACAGTTTTCTGGAGTAGATTGCCAGGCCTTTCTGCTATGGCAAATGCTTATTTTTTCCCCTTCACATATTTCTATGAAAACTGAACCAAGAGTAAAAAAGAATAGTATATCTCTGTTCTGTGTACATCCATGTGCTTCTATGTATATATTTTTTTATTTTCTACATATGGATGATCCTGTCCCCTTCTGTGCATCACACTCTGTTGCCAAACTACTACCCACCACCCACCCACTGCCATTGAGTTGATTCTGACTCCTCGTGGACCCCTTACGGTTTCCAAGGCTGTAAATGTGTACAGAAGCAGGCTGCCACATCTTTCTCCTGTGGAGCCACTGGTGGTTTCAAACCACCGATCTTTTGGTTAGCAGTTGATTGCTTTAACCACTGCGCCACCAGAGCTCCTAAAACTGCTATCAGATAATGTAAGTTATTATTGACTTCAACACATCTAATGGGAAAATAAATGACATAGATTATCCATATCATTACTTCTGATCATTGTTAGAAAATATGATTGTAGAAAAATTTACTAATAAGTTAATTCAGGCCTATTGCTTAATTTTCTTTTAACAATTTTTTTGGTGCCCAATCCTGTGTATAGAAGTTTGTATTTCAGTGATTCAAAAATACTATTAAATAGTTAGATGTTGAATCTAGTGGATTTTATTACATCCCAAATGCTTCTGGAATATGGCATAATTCCTGCAAGTTTAATTTTATTTAACAATGTAATTGCAAAAATTAACCTATAAACTTTTATGTAGTCATAACGCATGACTCTTACTATCTTAGATTTTGATTAAGTAAGCTATTGATATACTTTAAATCCTATTCTGGGAAATAGTAATAGATTGTTAATTGGATTGATGTGTCTGATGGGTTACATTTAAATCTTGCAGTTTGATGTTAATGAGTTTAAGATTCTAAAACAGGACTTAGTAGTGGACTTTTAAAGATGGAACCCCCATAGACAAATAATTTACTGCAAGACAAGATGCTTGTCAGGTGGAGCTGCCAGTCATGTTGTAAATCATGTAAGAATGTGAAAGCCAAACCTGTTCCTTGTCACTATGAAAAACAGCTGAACTGGTTTCTTGTCAGATAATGGGTCTATATACTCATTTTCATGGAAAGAAGGTATTGAATGGTACTGTTCTTAATATCTTATGAATTGGGTGCTTAATTTAGGCTTGGAATTTTCATTATTGCTCCAGAACATCATTGTCAAATTCTATTTCTATATTCATTGATATTTGGTTAAATAAAGCCTCTAAATTCAAGGATTATTCGCTAAATGTAACAAATTAACGGGTAGAAAGGTTCCAGAATCACTTTAGATTTTGAAGGGTGATGCTCAAAAAGGAACTTCAAAAGGTGACCCAGAAAGCTCATTTTGTGTTGCTGTTATCACAGGCTGCTTTTACAGGCTTCCGCCTTTGAGTACTTTTGACAATCCTTGAGTTTATTGTCAGTGTGTGCTGTCTAGCTCTCAGTCCTTACAATATTAAATGAATTCTGTGTCTTCTTGCTTCTGCATATTTTGCTGTTTGTAAATATTTCTATATATATTTTTTAATTAAAAATATTAAAGGTTACTATGATGAAAAATCAGTGTCAGAAACTCATCTTAAGCCATAATACAATTTAAAAAGAAAGCCTCCTATGTCTTAGGCTCAGAAAAATAATTTGAAAAAGAAATTTATAACTTCTCTTATTAACTTCCTGTGTTCTTGCTTTCCCCCGTAGCTAAAGACATAAGATTTTAATAAGAATTAAGTAGAATTTTCAGTGATATGATTAAATAGAGTATACTTGCTTGGTCTCTCAGCATACGAGGCTGTTCGTTAAGAAGGATTTCTGAAAAATAAGAAGCCAGCTCTTTTGTTTCTGTAGTAGAGACGAAATAGCGTAGTAGTTAAGGGGACTTACCTAGAGCCAGGCTGCCAGTTTCAAATCTAATTTCCTTGTGCCTTCATTTTGTCTTCTATCAAGTGGGGATAGTAATAATGCCAACCTCCTAGGATAGTTGTGAGGATTAAATAAGTTATGATATATACAGTAGGTGTATTGATGCCTAGTATTTGGTAAGTTCTTCCTATATAAATATTGGTATCTTTTTTTATTACATGCTGTGTAGCACATATAAGTATTATCTATTATGATTATCAAAAATTTCCTGCAGTAGAATTTCCTGCCATTTAAAAATTATAATTAAGAACGTCTATACCCCTGACATTTGAAACGTCATCATAGTATAAACTGAGAACACTGCTTGTATCTTAAGCTAGTAAAGTTATTTCACCACCTCTTTCTTCACTTTATTTCTTACAGGGTGTCTTAGTTAGTGCTGCTATAACAGAAATACAAGTGGATGGCTTTAAGAAAGAGAAATTTATTTCTTCACAGTAAAGTGGGCTAAAAGTCCAAATTCAGGGCATCAGCTCCAAGGGAAGGCTTTCTCTTTCTGTCAGTGTTCTCATCAATGTTCCCCCGGACTAGGAGCTTCTCCACGTGGGGACCCTGGGTCCAAAGGACACGTTGTGCTCCTGGCACTGCTTTCTTAGTGGTTCGAGGTCCACCTGTCTCTCTGCTCACTTCTCTCTTTTATATCTCAAGAGATTGCCTCAGGACACAATCCAATCTTGTAGATCCAGTCCTGCCTTACTAACACAACTGCCACCCATCCTCCCTCATTAACATCATAGAGGCAGGATTTACAACATATAGGAAAATCACACAATACCAGGAATCATGGTCCAGCCAAACTGATACACACATTTGTGGGGGGATATAATTTCAATCCATGACAGAAGGAAAAACAAATAAGTAACTGTTACATTATCTCCTCATTAATAAATCCTGTAAAATTTTATCTTAATAAAATTGATGGAGAATAAGTACAAAAGCAATTTAAAATAACTACTGTCTTGGTAAATCTATTGGGCTTTGACTATTTTTTTATTTTTTATTTTTAATGGTCAACCTAGTTTTAGTAAAGGAATACTTTCCCCAATTCCTCCTCTTTTTGGATGGAGTCATGATTAACATAAAATAGTGACTAGGCATACATTCAGGCCATACCTAATATACATACTTTTGATAAATTTGTGACCAAGTCTATTCTTGTGTATATAGAGAATAACTATGAAATAGATCATTCAGATTATATGTGCTTACCTATAAACAGTATCATAAAATATATAACATTTCTAGGAAATCAGATGGAGTTTGGCTACTTTGCAACACAGATGTTGATCCTCCAAATATATTCCTTTTCCTAAATAATTTACATTTGGAAATAATAGTTAAGTCTGTTCTCTTACATGAAATGTGAAGAACACAACAGTTGTGAGTATCTCTTGATTGGTTTTTCCTGAAGAACTAAATATTAGGAGACGTTAATAATAAATTTCATTAACTTACTCCTTTAATTTCCATTTATAACTGAATTTTTCTTCTATTATAATTTACTTCTAATTAATTAGAGTAATAGAAAATGGGCCTCACAGTAGCAAATAGATGAGGAAAGGAGGTTAATTATCTTGATGGTATATTAACATAACTGAATAGGCATTTTATCCAACATTTAAAAATCTTTTAAGTTATAGGAATCTGTAATAATAACTTGTTATTACTAACTCTCTGTAGTAATATGAAGGCATTGAAGGATTCTGAAGTGCTTAGAAGACAGTAAGTCAGTATTAAATCATACTAGGATTGTTTCTGCTTTAAGAGTTATCTGTAGATTTTCTAATCTTTTGAAAATTGGTAATAACCAGAACTCCCTATTTCTTATCAGCTGGATAATCAAACTTGGGTGTAAGGACTTAAATTTGTTTGACAAATTGTTTTTCTTTTCCATTTTCAGTGGATTAAACAGATACACCTTTAAAGAGGTGGGGAAAAAAGTATAATGGACATCATATTGAATCCAGGATAAAGACATAGTTTAGGGGGAAAGTTGAGAAGAAATTAATCACAAATTCAGTAAATTGAAGAAAATCGTTAAAGAATATCCCTAGAAATCCCTTTTTTAAAAAAAGAAATTATAGTAGTATTTCATCCTTGTTTTACAGGAAAAGTTATCAAAGTCTTGACCAGCTATCAGCTGAAGTTAGCCTTTCTCAGACCTCACTTGATCCAGGCCAGTCACAAGAAGGAGATGGAAAACAGGATACATTAAATTTAATCACTGAAGGTAAGACAAAAATCTGTTTGAAATTTACGTTTTTATTCATTACCTATGTTTTGGTTGCAGAGTATTGCTGAAGAGTGACACTGCTGTAAAGCATGCTAGGAATTAAGCTGCCATTATGATTAAACATGGTCTGCCCTTGTTTCTTTCTCATGTATTTGTGGCTAACCTTCTTGAAAGAGCTGTCTATAATTATTACCTTCATTTCCTCACTTCCTATCCTCTTTTTTTACTTCCTCCAGTTTGGCGTTTGTGTCTCTCCCACTTTACTAAAATAACTTTTATCAAGATCATCAACCACTGCCATATTGCTAAAGTCAGTTCTCTGTCTTCATCCTGTTAATCTTCTCAGCAGTTTTTGATAAAATTGACTACTTTATCATTGTTGAATCACTTTTGGTTCCTGGTTTATTGAGTATTCTGAAAAACTTGTGGAATAAACATAAAAGAGTTTTATTTTTTTCCTATTACTGCTTTCAGCTATGCTCTATCAACCTCCCTCCCATTAGGTTGCATCTTCCAGACTTTTCAGGCTACTTTCAATTATATGGTCCCATTTCAGTTTCCAGGACCATTCTTGACACAGCAATCAGTGATCTTTTACAAACATAAACCAAAAAATATTATATACCCCTGCTTAAAACTCTGCAGTGGCTTTCGATAGCAGTCAGAAGAAAATCCAAACTGCTTAGCATGGCCTTCAAGTCCTACATGATCTTGTCCTTGCCAGCTTTTGCCACATTTCATACCACTCTGTTCCTTGTTGTCTACTGAAAACAAACTGAAAAAGCAAACTGACCTTCTAGCTACCCTTCAGACTGTTTCCTGCCTCTGCTATCTTTGCACTTGCTTTTTCCATGCTCTGAAATTTCTTAACACCTTTGCATGGTAGGCTTTTTATCAGTCTCTGGTCAAATGCCATCTCATTAAAGAAGGCCTCATTGACTTTAGACACCCCACCCCCATCTACACCCCTTGCCAGGCACTGTCTATGATGTTACAATGTGTTATATTATGATTATTTTCTATAACTCACTCTAAAATGTAAGCTTTATGAGGGTAGGGATCTTATCTGTCTTTTTCACCAGTGTGTTTACAGAGTCTGACATATAATACCAAACCAAAACCCATTGCCATCAAGTCGATTCTGATGGCGATGCATAGCGGCCCTAAAGACAATTAAGTATTTATTGATAGAATAAGTATATAATGAATGAGTGGCATAGGATGTGAGGAATCTGGTACAGTGGAATACAAGATGAAAACTCTGTTAGGCTCAGATAATGGGAATATTGTTTTGAACTGAATTTTTTGCTCCTTTGGGATGGTTGTTGAAATGTTCTGAAGGGCCTTAGGGTACAATAATATTTTAGTACATAGTGTATATTAACTACAAATTAATATAATTTTTGATGATGTGGATAATATAGTAGCATACTGGAGTATCTTACTGGCACTAATGTAAATGGAAGATAGTAAACTGGATTCACTGTTATAATGTAAAATATGTACATTTTTTAAGCAAATCCATACTATGCGTGGATTTATTTGTGATGTCTCTTCATCTAAAAAACACTTTTATTTAGGATTTTGATCTGATTTCTAAGTATAGGCAATTAATGTCAACAGGACAAGAGTAATAATGAACATTTTGATACTATGAAGATAAATTTCTTGACTTTAAGAATTCAAACTTAAATAACAGATAAGAACCTACTTACAGACTTTCTGTACCCAAAAACCTTATTAAAAAAAAACAAAAATTTACCAACTCACCCAACAAGAAAAAGGACTACATAATAAACCTAATAAACTACAAAACCAGCTGATATGGAAAGAAGCAGATGTTCTTATTATGAGTTGGTAAGATTCTTAGAATTCTCTCAACCTCAAATCTGGTTTTAAAAAAAATGAATTTAGGAATTCTGAATTCTGGGTAGTCGAAGTAATGGCAGTGATGCAAATTCAAATCAGTATAGCCTCTAAAAAGTATAATAAAGAGAAACAATAAGAACAAATGAAACCACACAAAACCTGAGCCTTTGGTATAGCTAGAAGATGCCAAATAACTAAATTTCATATTACCTGTGAATAGAAAAATAAACACCAAATCCAAGCAAGCTATGTCTTATGCATGTGCAATAAGCCATAATAGAGAGCAAAACGGTCCAAGAAAACCAAACTGCAAAAGAAGAAATTGTGACATTAGTGGCAGGCCTAAGAATGGTCAGAAATCACATCCAGAAAGAGAAAGTCAATCCTAAGTGTGAAAATACGAAAAAAGGTGTCCTGGTAAAAGGACTTAAACTTACATGTAAGATGCTAAGAAGCAGTACTACAAAGGTAATGCCTAGGGGCAGAAGAGGGTTAAAAGGAAGGGAGAGAGTCTTTTTAAAAACCATGTGGTGGGAAGAAAATGAAAGCAAGAAAGGAATTTAGGATTGTGTAAAACCAAAGAAAGTCAAAAAATTAAAGGACATGCATCTTCTCCACCCAAAGCATCCTAACCCTCTTCCCCCTCAATAAAATCCATACTATGGTAAGAAAACTATACTTTGGTACACTGACAGAAGAAGGTGATCTTAAATTTAAAATTTCCTAAAATTATCTACCTTAACCCACTAGCCCTGTCCACTGAAATCCTGAGGAGCACTCTGTCTATACAAAATTACTCTTTAAAAATGCTGTATAAATTGAGAAAACAGTTCAGCTGATGAAACACCCTTAAAAAACAATAGTGAAACAGAAAAAAAATTGTAGTACAACCATATTATTTTATTTAAATATCCTCAAACAAGCATTTAGAGATATAATAAAAACATTTAAATCAGAAATCAAAAACTAAGAACAGAAATGTCCAAGAAACAAGAAGTGAAATGACAGTTGGAAAGTTGATTAAACTCTAGGAAAAAATGGAAGAAAAAAGATAAAGTCATCAGAACTAAAGATTAAATTATGTGTCCAATAAAGAGTAGAGTTCAAAGAAAACTTAATATGGAACATTGAAGAAAAGCAGGAAAACAACCAACAGAATGAAAATGAGATAAAGGAAAAGATGTTAGAAAATGGTTGAATTGTAAAACAAGCAAAGATGATTGAATTTACATACAAGTGGAGTCACTGAAGAAGCTAAAACACTGGAACAGAACTGATATTGAAAATGGATACACCAAGAAAAATGTCTAGAAATAAAAGAAAAGCTGAATTTACAAATTGAAAGGGCTAACTAGGTACCAGAAAAAATTAACCTGAAATAATCAACTCTAAAACATCCTACTAAAATTATTAGACATTTAAAATTAAGAAAACATACTCAGGGCTTCCAGGCAAAAAGATCAAACAACTTATAAGGGGAAGAGAATGAGGCTGGCATCAAACTTCTGTAGTTGCACAAAGGTAACAATGAGAACAAAAATACAAACCTTCTGAAATACCAAAGAATTTAAAAAGAGAGAGTAAAGAAAACTAATGTAGAAAAAGAAACACAGCAAGTATAACAACAAAATAATATGCCACACTTGAGTGAACATCAGAAATTTACACAATGGCAAAAAAAATCATGTAGAGAAAGAAACATAATACACATAATATCTACTGTGAAACCTTTGAGAGTTAGAACTTGACGGGACTGCCTTGTTTTTCCGGGTCTTGCAAGTTTTCTGCCTTTGACAGGGTGCAGTCTTACCACTTTTCTATCTCTGTTAAGCTCTCTATTAGGAATCCTACCTCATAAACCTAGAAAGTGTTTCTTTTTGATTTTATAGTACTGTAAAAGAAGCTAAACCATTTTTTATGATTTGCATACTTATCCAAATTATATACAGACATGTGCATATACTATTCAAATAAAGATATGGATAAAATTCACTTTTGAATAAAAACATCTAATGTCAACTGTTTGTTTTGGTTTTTTGATGAAATTATTGAAACAAATTTCTGAGTTCCTAGCCTTATCAAAAAACTCATGGTCAAGAGGATGGTAAGCCACTCTTTCAAAAGCTGACCCTGCAGACATTTTTCCCCCTTCATTTTCAGGGTCCTGTTAGGCATAGGAAATCCTGGTGGTATAGTGGTTAAGAGTTTGGCTGCTAACCAAAAGGTCAACAGTTCAAATCTACCAGGCACTCCTTGGAAACCCTATGGGGCAGTTTTACTGTGTCCTATAGGGTCACTATGAGTTGGAATCAACTTGACGGCAGTAGGTTTGGTTTTGGTTTTTGGATTAGGGATTACCCTGTAAAATAGAGCAGTCTCATTGACATTTGCAGTGTCTTTAGGATCATATCCCCTTTATGATGTGGTTTAATTTTGTGAACCAGTTTTGAACATCTTTTTCAACCTTGTTTGACTTCCCACAAGCTACATTTCAAGTGATTCTTTTTTTTTTGAAGCTCTGAAGCCACCCATTATACACTGACAGTCCATCAACTTTTAAAAGTTTTGTTGTTTCCTTCACCTTTGCTTGCAGGAAAGTTCTGAAATGGGAACATTTTTGGTGGAGGCTTGAAGAAACCACTCAAAAACAGATTTATTGATTTCTGCATAATTTCCATCCCTTCCTTTCTTGATGTTTACATTGGTGCTGCTTATGTATTTTTCAGTTATTTTATCCTTTTCTTTCATAATTAAATTTGCATTTTTTGGCATTTGAACTTAATTACAGTTTCCTTCACGATATTTTTCTCTTCTGTTATCATTTTGACATTGGACTTTTCTTCTCAGAGATGAATTTCTTATTATCTTGTCCATGGCTGTGAAAGAATAAGCTTTTTTAAAAAAGGAAATAAGTTCTTATAAAAATTAAGAAATTAATGATCTTCTCAAAAATATCTCAAAAAGAAAAAAAGCAACATTATTATATGGTAAAGTTAGCACTCTTCAGTAAAATAAGGAAAAAAAAAGTGAGATGAATGTTTTTGCTTTTGTACATAATTGAATGTGTTAAGTGAGGAGGAAATGATTCTCTATGTTTTGAGCAAAACAAGATTTTGAAAGAATTTCAAGGAAATGAAGGAGTGGATATTGAAAATTGTAATAATGTGTATAAAATTACAAATAGGTAAAGCAAGAACTAAAAATTAAAGAGTAAAACCTCTCAAGACAAGGGGAAAAAGTGTGCTTTGCTAGATTTTAATGAAAAATAAAGGAATTTTTAGTATCTCTTACCTTCTTCCAAATTTATGGATGTTGTTATTTGCTGCAAAAAAAATTTACAGGTTAAAAAAAAGACAGCAATGCAAAGAATAGACATACTCAGAGACCAGCAGCAGTATATATTATGACTCACAAACAATAACAAAGCAAAAGGAAGTGGAAGACTGAGCCTTCATTTCTGACTCTTGTTTGTACATCTTGGAAGTATTTCCAGCTTTCGCATTTGCACTTCCTTGTAATTGGGTTGCAATACCAGCAATTTTCAGATTCCATCTGCATCTTGCAGGTTCTGGCTTTCAGAGAATATTTATAAGCCTGAAGTAATCGTTTTAGTGGAAAATATTTGAGTTTTCCTTCTCTGACAGGTTTCTAGCTTTCACAGGTTTCACTGTATAACAAAATTATAAGTTATTCAGAATCGCTAAAAATAAAGTATATTAGGAAAATAGCAACACTAAGAAAGCAGGGTAACTAACCTAATATCAGATAAAATAGAATTTAAGCCAAAAAGCATTAAACATCTCAAAGAATGACAGATTTTAATGCCAAAAAGCCGCAATTAAGATATGTTAGGATTATCTACCAAATAAAAGAAAAAAACTATGAGATATAAGGAGAGATGGATAGAAACACGGTCACAATAGGAGACTTTAGCACATTATTCTCAGCACAAGACAAAAGAATATAAAAGACTTAACATAATAACGTAGATCTTCTGGATATACACAGCACTTTACACCTTCATAATAGATAATATACTTCTTCTTAAGCACAGATGCTTAAGATGCTATATTAGCTCATAAAGAAAACATTGAATTCATAAAGTAGAAACATTACAAATAGTACTTGCTTATTATGATGGAAAAAAAACCCCTAGACATTATTGATAATTTTTTTGTTCAAAAAGATCCCTCTACCTAGAAATTAATAAACCTTCCATTAGTTTAATAGAAACAATGCTTGGGTGAAAGAGAAATAAATACAAGCTGAAATTATCAATTTTTAAAAAAATAATGACAATGAAAATACTGCATATCAGATTTTGTGAAGTTTATTTAAAGCAATAATCAGAGGAAAATTCATAGCTTTTATATACTTTTATCAGTAAAAATGAAAAAATTAAAATAAATATTCCAGTTCAAAAAGCTAGGAAAAGAACAACAAAGTAAACCAAAAGATAGCAAAAGAAAGGATATAATAAAGATAAAAGCAGAAATTAATGAGATGGGGAAGAGAAACAGTCAATCTAATTAATAAATCAAGAAGACTGTTTTTGAGGAGTTCGGGCAAAATGGCACTCTAGGCAGAAGCACCACGCTGTCCCTCCACAGCAAAGATCTGAAAAACTAAGCCGAACAGAGAATACAACAATCCTGAAAACCTAAAACATCAAATGAGGAGAGAAAGAACTCAGCCAAGCACCAAATGGAGTGAGAAAACTGACAGAGAACGGAGAGCGAGGAGAGATTCATGCAGAGGTCCCCTACCAGCTAATGCAGC